AGGTTGCTGTGAGCTGAGATGCCACGGCACTCTACCCAGGAGGACAGCTTGAGGCTCTGTCCAAAAAAAAAAAAAAAAAAAAGGTAATTACCAGGGGCTAGGGGTGGGGGAACAAGAATAGGGAAATATAAATCAAAGGATACAGTGTAGCAGATAGCTCAGGGCACGTGGCTCACCGCTGTAATCCCAGTACTCTGGGAGGCCAAGGTAGAAGGATTGCTTGAGCTCAGGAATTTGAGACCAGTCTGATCCAAGTGAGACTCCATCACCACAAAAAATAGAAACATTTAGGCTTGGCACCCAGTGGTCAGGGCACTGGCCACATACACCAAAGCTGACAGGTTCGAACCCAGCCCAGGCCTGCTAAACAACGACAACTACAACAAAAAAATAACCAGGCACTGTGGCAGGTGCCTGTAGTCTCAGCCACTTGGAAGGCTGAGGCAAGAGAATTGCTTACGACCAAGAGTTTGAGGTTGCTGTGAGCTATGATGAAATAGCACTCTACCAAGGGTGACATAATGAGACTCTGCCTCAAAAACAAACAAATAAACAAACAAACAAAAAAAACAGAAAAAGTTAGCCAGGCGTCAAGGCATGCGCCTATAGTGCCAGCTACATAGGATGCTGAGGGAGGATGGCTTGAGCCCAGAAGTTTGAGGTTGCCGTGAACTATGATGCTACCGCACTCCAGCCTGGGCAAGAGTGAGACTCTGACTCAAAAAAAAAAAAAAGAAGAAACAAACAAATAAACAAAACAAAGGTCTAATACGCAACATGAGGATGCTAGTGAAGAAAAGTTTCTTATATTTAGGATCTTTGCTGAATGAGTAGACTAGATGCTATTGCTAGAGGGAGGGACCCCTGGGAGATGACACATATGTTAATTTGTTTCACCAGAGTAACCATTTTACTATATATAAATCTCATTACTTCATGTTGTATACCTTAAATATACATGACAAAATTTATTTTTAAAAATATATATACAATCCCACATCCTTTGTTAAATGGGCTAACAGTGTCAACTGCCACAAAAAACAAATGTACAACTGGGTTGGGTGTCATCATATTGCCTACTGGTCATTTAAAATATTATAGTTCAGAAGGAAACAAGAGGAACCAAAGTAAAAGGGCATTCTAGAAAATAATGTACCCACTTCTGAAGTATCAGCATCAGCTGGTTGTGGTGGCTCATGCCTATAGTCCCAGCACTTTGAGAGGCCAATGCAAGAGGCCACCCAAGGCCAGCAGGTTGTGCCCAGGCTGGATAACATAGAAGACCTAGTCTCTGCAAAAACAAATTCTAATGAGGCGGGCATAGTGGCAGGCACCTGTAGACCTGCTACTCTAGAGGCTACACTCAAATCATGCAAGACAGCTTGCTTATTTTTCCACTGGGTCAACAGACTTCTGTGCCTTCTCATGAATTTTTAACACATCAGCACAGCTCTACAGAACTCTCCAGCTAGACAGTGCAGGAGGAGAGAAAACAATTCCAGAAACACATACAATTAGATAAATGAAGACAAATTCCAATTATGTAAAATAATTATACCAATTTTTGATGGAAATAAGGTCTCATCATCCAACTGATCCTGAACCCAAGTCATCAGGTAATCAATGTACTTTGGTGCAGAGCACTTAATAGGCTTCTTTATGTTTGTTCCATCTGCCCAGTGATACTCATATCTGCATGGAAAGATAAAACACAAAATATTGGTACATACATACATGGATATGGTGTATAATGAATATATACAGACATCTTTCTTTTTAGACAGAGTCTCACTACATTGCTCTCGGTAGAGTGCCATGGTGTCACAGTTCACAGCAACCTCAAACTCTTGGGCTTAAGTGATTATCTTGCCTCAGCCTCCCAAGTAGCTGGGACTACAGGCACCCACCACAACGCCCGGCTATTTTTTTGTTGCAGTTGTCATTGTTGTTTAGCAGGTCCAGGCTGGGTTCAAATGTGCCAGCCTTGGTATATGTGGCCGGCACCCTAAACACTGAGCTTCAGGCACCAGGCCTATATAGACATTTTTCGAACAATCCATTTCTCCAAATAAAGATGCATTTTTAACAGTGGACTGTTTTGCATTTATCATAATCCAAATTAAGCATTCCCCTTGAATTGATATTTCATGTTTCTACATCGCCCTCACGTGTGTGCATTTTCTTACACAGTTTCCTCTCATATGTAGCATGTATATTTTAGAATCACACATTACTGTAGGAGAAAAACTAGATTACTTCCCAGTTCTACCATTTTTAAACTTTATGTTTTTTCTTCCTTGAAAACGATTTCTCTGGCTGGGAACCTTGGCTCATGCCTGTAATGCTAGCACTCTAGAAGGCCAAGGCAGGAGGATCACTTGAAGTCAGGAGGTGAGACCAGCCTGAGCAAAGTGAGACTCCATCTGTACAAAAAATAGAAAAATTATCCAGGCGTGGTGGCAGATGCCTATAGTCCCAACAACAAACAAAAAAAACTGGAGCAACCCAAACAAAGACGTCTATAGGTTTTAGGTATTAGCAGAATACTATCAACTTTCAATATCCTGAGGCTTTTTAAGAAATAAAGTAATTATAGGCTGCATAGACCTCTGGAGCTCACTGTCGGGTCCCATCTGGGGTGCCGCTTGTTGGGGCCCGGGACTGGCCAGATCTCCGGCCTGGCTTAGCTATGTTCCAGGCATGGACCGCTGTGCTATCTAGCTCGGGAACAATCACCCTTAGGTGCCTTAGGGCTATCTGCTTTAGCAGAAAGGAGAAGACAGAGAGTCTTCAAGAGATCGAAGCAGTCTTAGTAAGAGAATAAATCTTAGCAGTCTTTTGTAGAGAGATGCAGTGCAGGAGTTCCGCAGCCAGGAGAAGCCAAAGAGTCACTGTGAGCGAGTCCGTGAAAGAATGAGCCCTCCTTGACTACCTGCAGCTTCTGTGGCTCTTGCACCACAGGTGCAGGGACTGCCAGTCACTGCTGTTCTCTTCCTGCGAGCTCTCCTGTTAGGAGAGAAGAATCCCTCCCCACACCCTTATCACCAAGGTGTCACATTACCAAGATGTCTGGTGTTTCTTATGATCACTGAGTGTTCTGAGCTCAGCTCTCACTTTCCCTTGCCACAAGCCATATGGTCTCCTACTGCTCACAACCGTAACTCCCTGATCTTTTCTTTTTCTTCTCTCACATTTATACTTCCTTCATTTTCTAGCTCTATTTTACCCTCAGTCATTTTTTATTCTACTTTTGACAGACTATTCTCTTTGAAATTCATTTCTGTCATCAAACTCTGATTTTGTAAACTGCAAACTTTAATAAAACAGTCACTGTTTTTTTTTTTGAGACAGAATCTCATTTTGTCACCCTGGCTGGAATGTCGTGGCGTCACAGCTCACAGCAACCTCAAACTCCTGGGCTCAAGCAATTCTCTTGCCTCAGCCTCCCAAGTAGCTGGGACTACAGGCGCCTGCCACAATGCCCGGCTGTTTTTAGAGATGGGGTCTCACTCTGGCTCAGGCTGGTCTCCAACCTGTGAGCTCAGGCACACAGGTCAATCCTGCCTTGGCCTCCCACAGTGCTAGGATTACAGGTGTGAGCCACTGAGCCCAGCCTATCATTTCTTTTTTAATGATAATAAACACAGCCCTGTGAGCCATCATTCAGAACCACTGTGCAAGCCAGTGCTCAGTGCTATCAAGGGGCGATCACACAGCCCTGTGTCTGCTGGTGCATGGATCAGGAAAACTGCATCTCCTCAGCGGTAACTACAACTCAGAATTCTCTAAAAAAGGAGGAAGGATGGGAGAGGCAGGAGGGAGGGGTTCACACAAAAGAGGCATCTGCACCTACAACCCATATGAAGTCCACAGTAGACATCTCTCCAAAGTGAGCAGTCCCCTGCAGGGTGAAAATCATAGGATACACACCTCTGCCAGGAAGAAGTCTACACAGAGGCAGGGCCAAGAGGCCATGGGCAGGGTCAGAGGTCCTGGGGCAGGTTCGGAGGTGGTGGATTATGGACAGTTCTGCGGCTCTTCCTTGCCGGCTAGAAAGAGTGTACAGACACAGCTGTCTGCTTTTCCAGTGTGCTCCTCCTTTTTCTTTACTAAGAATTGGCAGTTTATGTTTAACCTCCTTACGTGGTATCTCCAGAACTTCCCTGAGCTCTTGAAGCCCTGTAACAGCTCCTTCATCATTTGACTGAATTTGAGTCCATGGCAATGTACGGAGCAATATTTTTGTGATGGATCTTGCTACGTGAAGTGAAAGATACAGTGCATCAAATGCCTTAAAATTAAAGTAGCACCAAATAAATGATAGCTGCCACTGTTATCAGTAATAGTGATGATAAAAACCAGCTTCAAAAACGTACTGATCCAATCCACACAGACTGGATATTAATTAAGGGACAGGCTCTGCCCTTACACCAAAAGGGATTTAAAAGAAAAATAAATCTAACAGGTTAAGACAAATAGTATAAGAAGAGTAATGAAACAAAGAAATGAAATCATTATAATGATGAAAAATTAAACAGAAAGATACACCTAGTTTGAAGAAATAAGAACAAGCATTTGATTTGAGACTTGAAGATGAGTAAGATTTCTTAAAATATTAGAAGTTGACAGGAGAGAAATGGAAGAGAATAAAAATCCCCAGGACAACACAGCAGCCAGGCTTTCAGAGCACGGACGTGACGGGAGAGCAGCAAGGTGCGCCCAGTGATCTAGGCTGGGTAGACCAGAGAAGACACAGAAGAACAGAGAGAAAGGGCAGAGAGAAAGATTGCTTGAGCAGCTGTAGCTCAAGCTGAGAAATCTGCACTTCAAAGACCAGTCGTTAGTACTAAGCATGTGGGATGCTTGCTTTTCCATTCTTGAGATACTCTGCTAGAGAGAAGGTATGTCCACTCCATCCTGGTAAATACAAAAGATAAAAAGTCTCCATCTTTTTCTACAGCTGAATAGTACTCCCTAGTGTACATCAGGGGTCCTCAAACTTTTTAAACAGGGGGCCAGTTCACTGTCCCTCAGACTGTTGGAGGGCCGGAGTCCGGGCCCGGGACCAGTCAGCTGCTAAGCAGGACATGCAGCAGCGGCAAAAACACCTGGCGGGCCGGATAAATGTCCTAGGCGGGCTGCATGTGGCCCGCAGGCTGTAATTTGAGGATGCTTGGACTGTACACAGACCACAATTTATTGATTCACTCATGGGTTGGTGGCTACTTGGGTTGTTTCCGTGTCTTTGCAATGATGAACTGAGCTGCTACAAACATTCGAATACACATATCCTTATGGTACAATGATTTTTTTTCTTCTGAGTAGATACCTGATAATGGGATTGTGGGATCAATGGGAGGTCTATTTTTAACTCTTTAAGAATTCTCCATATTGGGTGGCATCTGTGGCTCAAAAGAGTAGGGTGCCGGCCCCATATACTGGAGATGGCGGGTTCAAACCCAGCCCCAGCCAAAAACTCCAAAAAAAAAAAAAAAGAATTCTCCATACTTCTTTCCATAGAGAATGTATTATTTACAACCCCACAAATAGTTTATGCATGTCCCCTGTCTCCACACCCTCATCAACAGCTGCTGCTTTGGGACTTCGTGATGTAGACCATTCTTGCTGAGTGGATGGAATTTCAAGGTGGTTTTGATTTGCATTTCTCTGGTACACAGGAACAATGTGCACTTCCCATGTGTTTCTTGGCCATCATTCTGTCTTCTTGGGAGAAGGTTCTGTTCATTTCTCTCACCTAGTCACAGATGGGATTGTTTGCGCTTTTCTTGTTGATTTGAGTTCTCCGGAGACTCCAGTTATCAGCCACTTATCAGATTCATATCATATCTTTTTCCTTTCTGAAGACTATTTGCTTTATTTACTGTGTCCTTAGCTGTGCACCAGCTTTTAAGCTTCATCAGGTCCCATTTGTTTGTTTTTGTTGCTGATGCAGTTGCCAATGGGGGCTTCCTCATAAAATCTCTCCCCAGGCCTATATCATTAAGAGTTTTCTCCATGCATTCTTCCAGAGTTTTTACGCTTTCACATCTTAGACTTAAATCCTTTATCCAGCATTAGTTGATTTTTGTAAGTGGTGAGAGGCTCAGATCAGATGAACTACTGGCCCACATGAAAGTAAAAACACAATTCAATTCAAGAAGTGAGTAGAGGGAGGAGGAGAGGCTCAGTGAGCCCCACCTGACGGGCACAACGCAGGAGCATATGGCACGCCTCCTAGGTGAAAGGCTCAAACACACACTGTCCCTAACAAATGCAAACAATGTAACCTAGTAGCCTGTACCCCTACATTAATCTGAAAAATAAATTATAGTCACTGGCAAATCACCAAAAAAGATGCTAAGTAGAGAAATCATATGGTGAGACCTTCTTCCTGACAATGAGAACAGCGGTCTTACTTGGGGCCGGCTGACATCACAGGACAGCTCTCTTCTGTGCAGAAGTCTGTGATGGTTCCATACAGCATGTTGATCTGATTGAAGAAATCCACAGCTGCAAAAATATGTATCAGGTGTAAGTAAAACAAAATGGCCAGAAATAAATTCTAATTTTACCTAATTAAAATCTTAGGTTTATCAGAGTTCTTTCCCGTATAAAAAATGGGTTATTTTGCATGGAGAGAAGCCTCAATATTTGACTGCACTGTAAGGTAGGAGTTTTGGTCATGAAGTAACTCCACTAAGAGAGCAAACAGATAAGCACAAAGTGGAAAAGATTATTTGCAACTCATATAAACAATAAAACTCTTCTATCCAGAAGTATGAAGAACTCCTACAGACCACTAAGAAAAAAACAATGTAGGAGAAAAATGTGAGACAGCTTTGAACTATCACTTCACAAAAGAAGTTTTCAGACAGGCGAAAGTCCTACAAAAAGATGTTGCAATACCAGAACTACAAATTTAAATGATAGTGGGACACCATTCCACAGGCCCCAAAACACTAAAATTCATTCAAAAATACAAAGAGCCAAGAATATTCAACAAATTCTTAAAGAACAAGGTACAGATTAAGATTTATAAAGAATAGAGCAGTGTGGTCCTAGCAGACCCAGGGACCAGCAGGCAGAGAAGAGCAACACACAGCACAGACCAGACACCTGGTCACACAGAGCAGCAGGCAGAGGACAACCGCGTGGAAGGCGTTTCTGCACCAACTGGTTATTGCTATGGAAAAAACAAAACTTGACTCTTTACTCATCATACCCAAAAAGCAATCCCAAGTAGACTGCTCCTCTAAATGTCAAAGACAAAAGTTTAAAAGAGCACAGAAAACAGACTCCTGTCCTTTTACATGGATAGATTTCTTAAGAAGAGCACAAAAACCACTGATTATAAAGGAATAGTTTTCCAAATGTCTCATTAGATTACTAGGTTTTTAATATATTTTAATGCTATTCTTAATTTTTATATCGACCTCAGAGTGAACAATCTTATTAAATTGTTAAATTTAATACTATTACTAGTACTATTAGTAATAATAATCGTAGTGTTATAATAACAATGTACCCAGCACCACGCCCAACAAATTTTTCTAGTTTTTATAGAAACAGTCTCTTGCTCAGGCTAGTCTCAAACTCCTGAGCTCAAGTGATCCACCTGCCTCAGCCTCCCAGAGTGCTAGGATCACAGGCATGAGCCATTGGGCCCAGCCAAAATTTTCTAATTCCTTACAGATTTTTTTCGTCTACATTTCCTAGCAATTACTGACAGGAATGTTATTTGACTCTTCCTCCTCCTTTTATTCCAGTCAACTGATTTTATTACAATTTTGAGATGTTATTAAAGACATATAAATTTGGAATTTTATACTCTTTGTGAATAGAATCACTTATCACTTTGCATGTGTACATTTAAAGTGTGTCCCTTAGAATCAGCATTCAGCTTTGTTTTGTAGCCATCTTGTCACAACTGTTGTCCTCTTTGTTTAGTGACCAGGCCTCTCTGTCACCCGCTGGCGTTGCAGAGAGGCAGGCCCAGCTCACTGCAGCTGCCAATGCCTGGGCTCAGCAGTGCTCTGGCCTCTTGAGGAGCTGGGACTAAAGGCGCAGGCCAAGGCCTGACTATAGTCTTTTTTATTGGACCATTTTGTCCTTTACATTTAATATAATTACTAAGACTTTGATTTCAACCCACTCTCTTACTGTTTGCTGTCTACTTATCTCACTTAATACATGATTCTTTTTCTCTCTTTATGTTCTTTAGGGTTTTATTTTGTTATTCTATTTTTCTCCCCTAATTAGGTAGGTAATTATATTCACTTCCCACTAAGATGCAAATCTCATCAACAACTCTCTTTATTCTTTTATTATGCACCTGAAATGTTTAGAAATATGTCTAGACGAAAATCCTATGCACCTCACTGAACGTCACTTGGGAAGACGACCATAAATAAGAAACCCTTCAGTCAAAGGCAGGGCTGTATTTTCAAAGTGTAATTATATGTTCTAAGCAGATGACCTAATGCTTCAGTCCAAAATCATTTCTGTCTAGCTATGATAAAACTGTGTAATGCCAGTGAAGTAAATTCTCAAAGTTCTAGGCATTTCAGTAGTAAACAGTCACTGCTCCCTTATCCGCAGTTTCACTTTCCATGCTTCAGTTACTCGTGATCACCCACAGGCTGAAAATATTAAAAGGAAAATTCTGGAAATAAATAATTCATAAGTTGTAAATTACATGATGCAATGTCACCATCCTACTCCATCCAGCCCCAGATGTGGGTCACCCCTCAGACCAGCATGCCCCGTGTACCTGCTGCCCTCCCACTGACCACTCAGCAGCCCTCTGGTTGTCAGCTTTGACAGACCACGAAGAGGAGGCTGAGTGCAGCAAGTAAGATATTCTGAAAGAGACAGGGAGAGAGACCATATTCACATAACTTTTATTGCAGTATAATGTTATAATCATCCTATTATTATTATAAATCTCTTCCTATAATTTATAAATTAAACTTTATCATACATATGTATGTATTTAAAAAGAAACATTGTCTACAGGGGATTCAGTACCATCCACAGGTTTAGGCCTCCAGTGGGGGGGTCTTGGAATGTATCCCTGCAAAGAAGGGGAGCCTACTGTGTAGACACTTAGCTATGGCAACTGAGACAGAGAGAGAATATAGACAGACAATGATGCTGCTTTTATACTTAAAAGGTAGAATTCTCTTACAGTACAAAAGCTGTATGGAGCCATCTTTACATTTTTAGAATTACAGGCAGTCCCCGAGTTACAAACATCCTGCTTGTGTACAACCCACACTTAAGAATGATAGCTATTATAGGCAATAGGTCAATGTACCTGTTCAAACTTGCATACAAATTCAACGTAAGAGCAAACCTCCAGGCTCGGTGCCTGTAGCACAGTGGTTGCACCACCAACCACATACACTGAGGCTGTGGGAAGGGGGTCAAACCCAGCCCAGGTCGGCTAAACAAGAATGACAACTACAACAAAAAATAGCCAGGCAATGTGGCAGGTGCCTATAGTCCCAGTTACTTGGGAGGCTGAGGCAAGAGAATCGTTTTAGCACAAGAGTTTGAGGTTGCTGTGAGCTGTGACGCCATAGCACTCTACCCAGGGTGACATAGTGAGACTCTGTCTCAAAAAAAAAAAAAAAAAAAAAAAAAAAAAACCTACAGGATCTATCTTGTCCATGACCCCGGGGCTGCCTATAGTAAATAAGCTCTTAACTAGTACAAAAAAGCACAAGTACAAAAAGGAGAATGTGCATATATGCTAAGATTTATCCTCAGTAATGTCTTCAAGGTTCCACAGAATCATCTTATAGGTAATACAGGTCTCATTAATAAAACCAACAAATCACTTTCTTTATTTCAAATAACTAAACTCTCTTGGTCTTAGAGAATAACCACATTATAACAATACAGTTCTTGTGCAAATGCTGTCACAGTAAGGTTTTAAGACATTGCAGTAAAATCCTTCAGGTTTCTAGAAGTTCCTAGTATGCAGCAGCTCAATTCATAAATCCTATGACATAGTTCAAATTATAGTAAGATATCATCACAAACATTACATACATGTAAGAGAAATACTGTTTTGGTTTTCCTTAAAGCCTACATAGTTCATATATGCTTTCAATTAGATTTTATTTTATTTCAATTAAATTCAAATAAACTTCCTTCAATTATAAATTCTATTATCTTTTTTAACTAATGATGAAAAACCCTGACCCTTTTATTCTCTGACTTTCTCTGGCTTTAGTCCTCAAAATATACTTAATTTTTATTTATATGTTATTCTCTCTAGGAATTAAGAATATCTCAAAAACATATTTTCCTAATTTCATACCTACTCAAATATATCTTTTATTGTTGTTGTTGTTGTCACTGTTGTGTGGCAGGCCCAGGCTGGGTTCAAACCCGCCCAGCCCTAGTATATGTGGCTGGCACCCTAACCACTGAGCTATGGGTGCCAAGCCTCGAATGTATTTTTTTTTAAATAAGCAGCCTTAGACAAATACCTTGAGTATGATACTGAGAGCGACGGTTTAGCATAGTGATTAAAGTGCAGACTTTCAAACTCCATTGCTGCTCACTTGAGCCCACACTCTGCCATTTAACAGCTGCATGACTTCAGCAAGTTACTTGTCTTTCTGTCTCAGCTTCCTTATCTTTTAAACTAGGATAATAATTGTACCTACATCATAAGGTTGTAAAGAAGAAATAAAATCATCCAAGTAGAAAGGACAGCAGGGTGACAAACACATAATTTTGTTGGACAAATACTGTTAATTATTATCACTGCACCAAAATATATGTTTTATAATACATTATACAGGAAACAAGAATTTTATAAAATGCCATATTCAGAAATGAAGTAATATAATGGCTAAATAAAGTTGGACTGAGACATCACTGTGTGGTATCAGGATGCTAACCAGACCCGAGACGAGGTAACACCCAGCGCTCCCCACACTGAGCTCATCGACCTAACTCGCCGTGTGCTGAGAAACAGAAAGGGACTTACTGTTGACTGCGACCCACTCATTTAGATCCTCCCCTTCAGGAAGCATGACAGCCATCCGGAGGTTGCCACTGCCAAGTGTGGCTTCTGCGTGTTTTAAGAGTTCATACTGGTGAGAACCTTCTGGAATATTCTTCTTTGGTTTAAAAGTTTTAGAAGAGCGACTACCACTGTGAATAGAAAAAAAGGCACTTCAATATTTAAGCTATGACCTTCCAGAGTCCACTGTACTATACCACCTGATAAAATAACAGCAGAGGTGATCCCAAATGTCCACAAATAAAGACATACTTTCAGCCCCGTTGAGCTAAATTTTGCTGGATACATTAGATTCCAGCAATATGATTACTATAATTACTAAGTTCTCTACCCAAAATCCCAACAGATTTTCTCTACATTCCCTACTTTAACTCACAAGCAGAAAAAAAAAATGTTAGTTACATTTAATTCAGCTCTTGATAATAAATTAATGACTGAGGATTATAGCTTATAATATAAAAAATGAAAAAATACTTCCAAGATAAGTTTTACTCATTTTATTTGTTTTATGCCTATTGTATGTCTCCTATCCTCATACAAATAAATTGGTTTTCTTCATTTTTTTTTTCAGACAGTCTCACTACATTGCCCTTGGTAGAGCACTGTGCCGTCACAGCTCACAGCACATTTTCTTCTACCCAATTATAGGAAGTATCAGTAATCAATCTTAATCTAGACTTCTCATTAAGCAGTTAGGTAGCCAGCCAAACATCAGCAATGGCTAGTTCACTCAAATTTCTGGATGCATATACACACACAAACATACACATATATAATGTTATAAACAGGTCAACTGAAACTAGGCTTAGAAGTGGTTTAGGAGTTTTCAAGGGAGGAGGGCATAGCAGTGCACTGTGCAGTTACAGCTATGCCAGAGGCCGAGGCCAGGGGATCCCTTAAGGCTGAGAGTCCAAGGCTGTGCCAGGAGATTATCAGTAGGCCTGTGAGGAGCCACTGAACTACAACCCTGGACAACCCAGCAAGACTACATGTCTTTAAAAAGAAGAAAGAAAAGGAAGGAAAGAAAAAAAGAAAGAAAGATCCCATGCCTTGAATAAGAAAGGGAGTTTTTTTGTTTGTTTTTTGTTTTGAGATACCCATCAACCCAAATATCCAACTCAAATGACAAATATTTAGGCATTTTTCACTCTAAAGTACTGACACTCTCTTTTTAAAGTATGTCTCTTCTCAGATGTTTAATTAGAATTGAACTGATGCTCCTCAACTCTGACACATGCTCTTCCCATCTCTGCTCAGTGCCTAAGGGAATGCTTTAAATACACTCCTCAGATAGCATTCCTCTGCTTAGAACCACTCACTGCCTTTCCCAAGTACTGAGATTAATCTAAAGGTCAGTCTTAGACCCACATCAGCATATGAAGATTCCTCCTCAGGCTGGGCAAAGTGGCAGGTACCTGTAGTCCCAGCTACTTGGGAGGCTGAGGCAAGTGAATCATTTGTGCTCAGGAGTTGCAGACCAGCCTGAGCAAGAGCTAGACCCCATCACTACTAAAAATAGAAAAACTGGCTCAGCGCCTATAGCTCAAGGGGCTACGGAGCCAGCCACATATACCAGAACTGGTGGATTCGAATCCAGCCCAGGCCTGCCAAACAACAATGACAACTACAACCAAAAAATAGCTGGGCGTTGTGACAGGCACCTGTAGAACCAGCTACTTGGGAGACTGAGGCAAGAATCACTTAAGCCCAGGAGTTGGAGGTTGCTGTGAGCTGTGACACCACAGCACTCTACTGAGGCTCTATCTCAAAAAAAGTAAAAATAAATAAATAAATATAGAAAAACTATCCAGGCTGGGCAGTGCCTGTGGCTCAGTGAGTAGGGCGCCGGCCCCATATACCAAGGGTGGTGGGTTCAAGGCTGGCCCAGGCCAAACTGCAACCAAAAATAACCAGGCATTGTGGTAGGTGCCTATGGTCCCAGCTACTCAGGAGGCTGAGGCAAGAGAATCGCCTAAGCCCAGGAGTCGGAGGTTGCTATGAGCTGTGACGCCACAGCACTCTACCGAGGGCGACAAAGTGAGACTCTATCTCTTTAAAAAAAAAAAAAAAAGAAAGAAAAAGAAAAACTTCAGGCATTGTGGTGGGCACCTATAGTCCCAGCTACCTGAGAGGCTAAGGCAGGAGGATCTCTTAAGCACAGGAATTATTTTAGGTTGCTGTGACTTATGATCATGCCACTGTACTCCAGCCAGGGGCAATAGAGTGAGACTTTGTCTTCAGAAAAAAAGAAGAGAGAGAGATCGAGCCTACCGGCATAGCCCTACACAGGCAGCAGTTCATGCTCTTTCCTATCCTCAGTCTCACTCAAGTGAGCAGAAAGTCCCAAATCACTAAATATTCCAGTAAAACCAACACCAAAAGGAACTACTGAACTCAACAACATATCTAATACTAAAGAAAACTCAGCAAACAGAGGGTATGTCAAATACAAGTAATACCTTTAGAAATAAGAGAATGTTATCTCCTTGAAAAAGTGGATGATTATGAAAAGAAATAATTAGGGAAGGGTAGAGAGGTTGAAGTTCTCCTTTAACAAAGCAAGGTCAAGTCAAGAGATACTGTCCCCATTGAGCAAAACTGTTTAAAATGAGGTTTAAATATGATTGATTGTGAAGAAGGTTGCACAGTGCTAGGAAATACTAAAAAAACTTCATATAGTACACTTTAAATGGGTGATTTGTATGGTATGCGTTATACCTCAATAAAATGAATTTTTTTTGAGACACAAAGAAAAAAAGTAATTGAAGTCAGTGGCCTGCACAAATGTATGTCAACTGACCTTGACAAAGGGGAACAGGCAACTCTTGGAGAAAGGACAGTCCTTTAGCAGATGACAGCACAACACAGGACACCCAAACGTGAACACATGAACCTGGACTCTGACATCATGCCTTCCACAGAAATGAACTTGAATTTAATCACAGACCTAAAAAAACAACGCAACCCCAGAAAATTTCTAGAAGAAAACATAGGAGAAAATCTGTGTGACCCTGGATGATGATGAGTTTCTAGATACAAAACTACAAGTATGATCATGAAAGAAAAAGTTGATAAAGTAAAACTTTATAGGGAAAATGTTCTATGAAAGGTGCTGTAAAGAATACCGAAATTCAAGTCATAGGCTAGATGGCAGAAATTGCACACCACATCCTGATGGACTTGTACTCAAAATATATAAGGACTCTTAAAATTCAACTAGAAGAAAACAATAAAGAAATAGAAAAAGAACGAACTCCATCAAATGAGATCTACAATAGCAAGCAAGCACATGAAAAATGATCACTACAAAGTGTCACCAAGGAATCACAAATTAAAACAATGCGATGCCACTACACACGTCTTAGAATGGCTGAGACCTGGGAGGCACCTGTGGCTCAGTGGGTAGGGCTCCAGCCCCATATACCAAGGGTGGCAGTTCAAAAGCGGCCCTGGCCAAACTGCATCAAAAAAATATTCAGGAGGCTAAGGCAAGAGAATCACCTAAACCCAGGAGCTGGAGGTTGCTGTGAGCTGTGACACCAAAGCACTCTACCAAAGGCGATAAAGTGAGACAGAGTTTTCTTTCTAAAAAAGAAAAAAGAATGGCTGAGACCCAAAAAACTGGTGATACTAAATATAGAGGCCGCAGTGCAGCATGAACTCATGCATTCCTGACAGGAACGCAGAAATGGTACTCACTCTGGAAGTCAGTCAGGCCCTTTGTTACAAACCTAAATATAATCTTTTCACATAATCCAGCAATCACACTGCTAGGTATTTATCTAAGAGATCCGAAGACCTATGTTCACACAAAAAACTGCTCACAAATAATTATGGTAGCTTTAACCACAATGGCCAGAAGCTGTTACACAACCAAAAGCCCCAACAAGTGGATGAATAAACAAACGCAGCACATACATTCACACAAGGGCTGTGTGTTCAGCAATAAAAAGAAGTGAGCTATCAAGCCACAAGAGACATGAGGAAGCCTTAACTGAGTGCTGCCAAGTGAGAGGAGAATTCATGTACTATTAAAACAAGCACGGTGAAAGCTGAACAGATCCCACAGTGAATAAAACTGCTTATGGTCAAGTCCAGGATTTCCCACACATCTTCAGCCATGGAAACTTTTCTTCTGCATCTTAGCACACTGCTCTGAACACATATTAGAGAATACTGCACTCGGAATGGAACTGCTGTGTTGCCTCCCAAAGGCGCATTGCTCACGCCTGTAATCCCAGTACTCCAGGAGGCCAAGGAAGGAGAATCCCTGATCTCAGTAGTTGGAAACCAGCCTGAGCAAGAGAGAGACCCTCATCTCTGCTAAAAATAGAAAAATAGAGGCCAGGCAAGGTGGCTCACACCTGTAATCTCAGCATTTTGTGAGACCAAAGTGCGCAGATCGCCTAAGCTCACAAGTTTGAGACCAGCCTGAGCCAAAGAGAGAACCCCCACCTCTAAAAACAGCCGGGCATTGTGGTGGGAACCTGTAGCCCAGCTACTGGGGAGGTTGAGGCAAGAGGATCGCATAAGCCCAAGAGTTTAAGGTTGCTGTGAACTATGAGGTCACGGCACTCTACTCACAGCGACAAAGTGAGACTCTATCTCAAAATAAAACAAAAACAAAAAAACCCTTCAGTTTTATGAAGTTTAACTTCACGACTTTACACAAGAATGGAAGGAGGGTGGATCAATTCAATATTCAATATCCCACAAACTTTTATAATCTAATCCTTAAGAAATAATGTAGCACCTTCACAAGCAAAGAACAATTTGTTTCTACTCCTGTGAAATTATCTGAGGTGTTATCTCAGCTACAAATGAAGGCACTAAAATTTAATCACTCATCTCCCCCTCTGAGCTTCTGAGTTGTACTGAGGCCACAATTTCCTTTGCCCAGCTCTAAATACATTATTGTTGTCACTACATAGGTACTGAAACCACAGGATATTTTTAGAAAATGCCCATAGTTGAATGACTGGGTGATTTTCACGCAATAGCAGCAACTCTACTTTCAGAATTCTATACAATTTGCTGGATAGTTAAAAGGAAGAAACCAAAACTTGCATATACTGAGCTCAGACTGAGCCCCAATTTGGCAACTGAGCTGACAGTAATTCCAAATATATCA